TGGATTGACCATCCCAAAACATCAGGAAAAACTAGGATGTAGAAGACGGTGATGAGAAAACGCTATAATTAAATTTCACGCTGAATTTACCTAATACGCACCCAGCCAAATGGTCTCCAGCTCCCGAACAATCATTCACTCATGTTGAACTCTATTTTACATCCAACTGGGTTCATCACTAATCTTTTATCAAAAACATTGAATTCATGCTAGGGAATTGGGCAATGGATAAGGCATTAACTCTTAAGAGATCATGTGTACCAACATTGGTACACGATCGTTTGAAGGCGTATTTCGCTTGATAAAGGCTTTCTCTCAAACATTTGGTAGTGATTCAAAGCTTGAATCTCTGCGATTTCAACCATATATTTGATTTTCGAAAAAGACTTTCTACTACGTTGTAGCAACAAAAATAAATCAAGATTTACATCAATTGCTTCATTTGGGCTTTGACATGGTTTTCCATGAAGTTTAACTAGTCATTAGATGGCCAAAATCGAGAGGATTTTGATGACGTAATTGGACTTTTTTAATGATATTATATAGCGTTGTGCTAGCAAAAAGAAGAGTCCATACCACGTCTAGAATGTTACCCCGCCGTTTGGACGTTAAAGGTGGTTTATTGGTAATTATGGATAAATTTTATACTACAAAGGTATTCTATGGTTAAATAGAGATTGTATCATTACGAATTAACTTTTCATAAAGGGTTTTTGATCTGAAAAGCGACTACTTCACTTGAAATCCTTCATTTTTTTTAGCTGTGATGCAACGTCGCTGCAAAAAAAAAAAACTTTCAACCGTTCTTATGCATTTGTATCGCCTGCCTTGCAAGAACATAGCCTGAAAGCACATTTTCTAAAACAAAACCTCTGATAGAGGTCTATGTGGAGGAAATTTGTAGTATGTAGTTGCAGTGAGTGTAAAAAAAAGCACGCGTTCATCACTGGGCAGATTGATGAGTATTTTTCTCCCCATGTGCACCCGTATTTCAAAAAGTGCGTCTTTTATTCTTCTTCACATTTTAATGATCATTCGATAGCTTAAATCTCAAGAATAGAGGGTATTTTTTAATTTTTGAGTGATTTTTATATCCTGCTGTAATAGTAAGAATAAAATTTTATTCCACGCTCAAGTATTTTTCTCTAAACACAGCTTTTCATTCAGACTTCCGGAAACCATTCGATAGCAAAAATCTCAGCTATTTCAATGGTATACTTGGTTGATAAGAACTTCTTACTGTGTTGTTACAACTAAACGAATAGTGAGTGCACTCGGCGCCATGTCGATCGCAACATGTATCATCATTTTTCATAGATCACTTATTTTTCTTCCAAGTTATACGCATCATCATAGCTCTTAAATTTTGTTTAGAACTAAAAGAGATCAAAAGCAAAGACTTTTATTGTGATCTCCTTTTTACAATGCAGTACAATTGAGTGAATGTCAAATTCACTATAACAGCGTAGTAAACCAGCGTTTTTCTCTAAAGTAGACATATATATAAAAGCCAAAAGCATATGAACGCGTTAAAAAAATCGCTTTCTATCGAAGCATCGCAAAGATTCCAAAAATTTTTGCAAAATAGAGAAGAAAAAATCTCAATCAAACAACGAAAATTGCGCAAGTCGTTCCGCGCGCATCGATTTCTGTGGCGGTCCCTTAGGTGGGTTGTGGAATAAGTTGTGTGGTTGGTATCTCTAGGCACGCTCCATTTGGCTCCAGTGGTGAAAGATGTGATTGGCTGTGTATTTGGCCTTTTATAATGTCTTGCAGAGTCAATCAATGACTATCTCATGGATTTTTTTGCCTTAATGGACGAACCTGGTACAAATTTGTTGGTTTTCAGTGAGTTAGAAGTTGTTTGGTTTACGTCACGTAGTCAGATCTAAAAGCATATGCATACTGCAGAGTACTTTTGATAATCACGGTTGATATGCTCTGATAAGATTAAAAAGCTATTAATAAATTGCGACGTCATAGTGCCAAAATTAAAAGTGTGAGAGAGAAGCGTTATCAAAATCATTACTTTCGTGAGAAGTAATCTGAATGGACAGTAGGAAAATCACACACAAGCCCTATTTGTTTTCGACGAAATGCTCGAGCACTCACTTAAAGATTCAGTTAGCTACTCAAAGCTGATTTCCACTAGAGTTCCCTTCATTGTCTTCTCTCTAGTAGTCAGCTATTATCTCTCCGGCTTTGTTGATTAAACGTGAAGATATCGATCTCACTACTGCCCAAGCCACTGAACTAATCCGTTGGGCTTTAGAGTAGAAGCTCAGTGTTTCCACAGCTAGTCGATATTCTTAGTCTTTTCAGTCGATAAAACAACTGTTGATATCTTCTTCCTTGCCAACAGCACTATTACTCATGACGTCATCATAGACTATCTGTAGTTCTATATTCTGTAAATTTCCGTCTATTTTTCTTCTCCTCTACCTGCTTATAGGCATTATGTCTGTAAAAGTCTTACGTTTTCGATTCTAACTTCAATAAACATGAATTGCTCCTTCGCGTAATGAATCAAGCTTTTTTCTATGCATGGAGCTATACACCTATTTTTCAACAACATCTACTTCATTCGAAAGATTAAACATTTTATGGGAATAGCGGTAATTCTTCCATCATTATGTGACAACTGTCCTCTTTCAAAGACTCCTATTCACACTAAATGTAGATATAAACTTGAATCATCGGCTTTGAGGACGACAAAAACGTCGAGCGTAAGCGGAACAAATTTATTTACATCAATTCCGTGCTATAGACTCAATCAACAATGAATATATGATTGATTAATTTATTTTATATGAGTGATAGACTAGTACTATGATGGCTTTTGACTGTAACACAATGCTTTTCATTTGTAACGAGGTTTGATGAACCAGGTAACCATTAGATTCGGGGCAAACAATCTTATTAGAAAAATGGAACAGACTGCAGAAGTGAAACTCTGAATGTATCCTGGAACTCAGTGCTGCAAAATTGTGGAAGATCGACTATGGGAAAGTTTTCCTACGTAGCCGATTATTGAACGTAGTCGTGCATCCTCTTGTTCCTCATGACGGTAGTTGGTATACTGATATGTTAATAATTAACACTGATACTATACTGCAGAAAAGCATTTGTAGATGACTCAGAATAATATAAATTTCTTTGCAGATAATATATAAAGAATAGCAGTCAATTGAACGATCTAGGCAAGCTCTACTGGTAGGAGTAGAAAAGCTGCGGAGGATCTGAGCTTCGTGATCAGCTGAGAAAACCCATTATTCCATTCTGACAATGTTATGGTGTTTTCCGTTGCTCAGTTCGGCATTCTAATTGACAATATTACCCATTGTGTGAGAGTACCACCTTGCCAATTACTATACGTCTCCTATCGATCTGGTTTGAAGCCAAAGGACAACGAAAAAAAAAGTGCGACGCTTAGCTGATGAGGATTCAATACCGCTTAACAACTCAATACTGCTTTTTCTTAGGCAATTCTTGGTAGCAAGATTTCAACCGCTATACATGCATTTATGTAATTTTCCACATTATTGAATTCTCAGCTGTAGCCTATTTTCAATTCTGTCATGATAGCCGACACTATGAGCTTTCCTTCAGTTTTTCTAAACACTACTAAGGCAACGTCTTTTTGCTTCATAAATTTTACAAAAGGCTTCGAAGCTATCAGAAATTTAGGTGGCACTAAAAAACGTGTCGTCACGATTAGATATTGCTTTCGCATGGCCTTAGTTTTATTATTCAGTCTCAACATTCCCTCTATCTCTTTCTCACCACTCAACCTTTCCAATTACTCCATGTATTTGAGTTGTGAAGTGATGTCTCGTTTTATATTAGATCAAGAAAAAGGTCTCGAAACACTCGCTGAAAATTCGACGTTTTTAGATGAATATAATTAAGAACAGTAATAATTTTCTTCATAAATCATCATTATCCACGGTCTTCTGCCAGCGATCTGCAAGCTTCCGGATCTGCGCGAGATACCATTCTAAGGGCTTTGAATCGACAAACTCGTGATATGCCTTTCAAATTTGATTAAACGTCTCGAACTGGTGTCCATGCTGGTAATATTCTATTGAGCGAAGCTGGACCATAATCCGATGGCGCAGCATCTGCACTGCAGGCTGAACGCGGCAAGACCTCGATCCCTCCAATTCATCGAACTTTACCCTTAATCTTCTTTGCTGTGTGAGGTTTGGCATTGTCTTGCTGAAATAGCGCGCACTCTCGACGAATCAGTGTCGGGTACTTTTTCTTCAACGCATCGTAGACTCGGACCAGCTGCTTTCTTGTCGAAGTGTTACTGAGCTATGTCCATGAAGTACAATAACCGATACTGTGTTAAGCAAAAGTAGACGTTGATTTCTTCGCGGGCGTTAAGGAACTTTTTCTTCAACCTAGTAATTATCTTTGCTCCGCGTACCCTCACCTACTTTTTATATACTTCCGCTATATGAAACTTCCATCGAAACCTGTCCAGTCAAGCTTTTCTCTTTAATTGCATTCATACCACTGATTGTTTCAGATAAGGAGAATGAGGGATCTATTTTTTTATAATTTTTGTGGCCTTTCAAAATTGTTACTTGCTTCTGTGATACGGAAGCTTATCGTAATTGTTGGTAGACGACGAAAGGAGGACTGTTTGTTTTACAATGTAACGCTTCCTGTTCACTGAAACAAACGAATATGGAGGGGCCTGGAGTCGCAGGGGATCACATACCGATAGAAAACATGTTAATTGTTGTAGTGATTGAACACAAAATCATGGAATCAAAACAAAGGCTGTAGAACATAAAAGCTCAGCAAATCACAGGACGCTATGCAATTTTCAAGAAATCAATTTCTTGCCTCACTATTGAGAAAGTAATTCATGTATTGTCCGGTTCAACAAAGAACCGTTGAAATACATCTTTCATTTCTTGGTCTTTTCAACTGGCAATCTAAGAATGTTACAATAAACGCAATAATGTAGAGTGATGTGCAAAAACATTTGCAGCAGCTGGGAATCGAACCCAGATCTCACCCTATTTGGGGGTGTGCTGAACCGTTGCACTACCGACGCTAAGGAGGCCTATAAGGATCTTTTCAGTTTTTTACACTTTTATGTGCTTCTTTCGGTACTTGTTCATGGTGATAGATGTTATAATCAGGTGATAAAACCTCCGTTGTAAGCGATATCATTCAGTGTCGAACAACCTTCTTTACACTGTTTGTTTCTTATGGAAAAAAGCTTTTACTGACGCTTCCATGAGCTTTATTGGTTTCCATGCGTTGTTGAACGACTTCGCATATCGTCAAATCCCACTACTGAAAATCATGACGATGCCATCGAAAAGTCTAATACTAAGCGGACATGTTTTATTTTCGCTTTTACTTCCAGGCAGATGGTTTTATCACCATCTGTATTGTCACCAGTTATATGACAATGAAAACAATGTGTGTTGTAGTGTCGCCTTTGTTATATCAAATCCGTCTCATTTGAGGGCCATGCAAAATAGGATAACAGAATTGACCTGACACATGGATAGGTTACCACAAATCGCTCAGTAGGACAAGTGTAAATCCAATCACCCCAATTTTTGTTGTTTAAGATATGACGCATTCTTTTGAGATTGATCAACGTTGAAAGTTTTATCCATTTTTTGAAATAAAAAGCGCTTCGCGATAACTCATTGAGCGTTTTATGTGTTTTGTTTCATCGCTCCTCTTCCTGCTTTTCGTTTTCCCTCATGAAATATCTTTGTACAGTCATCTTGCACGTTTTCTATGTACATGATCGAACAATTCTGTTGTCCAGTCTCAGCAAATGTCCTCTTGTGACAATCTTTTTGTTTAGTTAATCAACGGATATTTTACGACCACTCAGTTTTTGTTTTATATGTCTGAACTTCGTGTTTTATAATTGAGATCATCGATTTGATGTTTCAGCGGTTTTGGATTATTCCAACACACTGGGAAGGATTACACTGACATTCAATCTACACGTAAATCAAGTTTTTTACAACCCCAACGGGCAAGGGAACTCTAAGACATAGATTCGAATTGCATGACAAACATCTCACTTCATAGCCTTGAGAGAAGAAAACGAAGGATTTTAGTCACTTTGGTAATAAATCTGGATAAAGCATCTTGTCTTCGCTTGTCCAGAACACGAAGCTATCGATCAATGCCGTAGGAAAAAGTCAGCTTTGTGGTACTATGCGTTCAGAAAGACAATACATTGAGACAATAATCATTCGCCTTCCTGTTAAACCAACTTCCACTCGTTCATTTCCTTTCGTGTTTAAAATACGAGCTTTGACATGAGATAGGTGAAAATAATCGTTTTGTGAACTTACGGAATCGGATGTACTGTTTGCTGAGAAAAAAATTGCTCTGGCCCAATAAATTTTTATGGTAAATTTCTATGGCTATTATTTTACTTAATTGATTTTTTCTACTACTCGGACTTAGTATATACTGATTGAAGCTGATAGCTACCGTTTTTATAGCAGCGTTTTAAGCATATGTGATTGTCATCAATTATTTACTACCTCACAAAAGTGACTTCCTGTAACTTCGCAGTAGATTTGAAGTTCAAAACTTATTCCTGTTATTCGGAATATGTTCACTGCTATATCGATACTTTTATTTCCCGATTACTGTTACCTACGCGAGATAATTGTATGAAAAAACTCATTATAAATCTCATGAACGACTGAAAGAGGTGATTACGCCATATATTACTAAGTAGGTTAGTTGGCGAAAATAATAACGGAATGGAAAACTCGCGTCACGAACGACTTCCATAGGAAGCAATGTATTAGCAAGTGCCTCTAATAATACAGCTGTCCATTGTTGCACGTCCAGTAATCGTGCACTTCGGTACTGCTTATGATGTTTTGAGCTATAGGAGCATCTTCAGTCTCTAGTTGTGATTCATATACCATCCCACAAAGCTCTATAAAATCAACTTGTCACACTACCTTTGTTGTTGAATAGTTTTCTATCATACCGATTGCTTCACTGACACTATTTCCACGACGACCACTAAGCGATATTTGGAGATTTTTTGCAAATTGTAATTGTACACCTTCAAGCTATGCGTGACTGAAAACTTTAGTGTGCACGAGAATATTTGGCGAGTTTTTCTTTTGTAACAAGTCAGTCTCAACGTGATCCCTTCCACTATGTAATGTTTCAAGCTGTACTGCAAAGCTCAGATGTGCTTCCAACCTGCGAGTACTCGATGAGCTCAAGAATCACACACTACACCATCTGAGGCTCTTGCTTTGCGTTTCTCTGAAACACACCCTTGGCTTTGACTTATGCTTATATCTCAGCACTCTTGTGGGTTCTGTTTCATATCTTACCCATTTATGATCAAAAGGATCAATGAGTAAATGCAACTTGAACACTTGATTATAACTGCAGTGCAATAAATTTGATACTAATTTATGCTTCTGCATCACTATATTGATGGATGATCCGATGATAGAACCGATAATTTGATCACGGCTAAGAAAAGGTAAAACAAGAGCATTAGTTGATGGAGTGGGATAGCACGTGAACCTTCAATATGGCAATCGCGTTGTCGCAGCTCACGTGGGGCTCTGAGTTTTGGCCATACTTTAGTATTCATGATTGTATTACGTGCCGCATCCTCCTATGAAGAAAGAATAGACACTAAATAGAAATTAGAAAACTGCTCTGACATCATTGGAAGTCTTCAGCAAATTATCAACTCTGCAAACACTCAAACTTGCGTCTTATCAACATCGTTGAGGATCTTTCAACTTTACCTACTGCTTAGTTTTCATTAACGGCGGGGTACGGTGTGAAATCTAATCTAAAGAGTGTCGACAGGCGAGAAAAACTTGAGCTTTGAGCTGGTTTCGAATATGCGATCACCTCTTCAAGAGACGCAATAAGTTTTCTACTACACTATCGAGGCTTTTGTCCTGCCTTTCTCTCAGCCATATGTAGGCTGATTCGAAGTCTATCACTTTCAGTGACCGCAATCGAGAACGAATGAATGAAAGATTCTATGCCCACATTTTTGTTCTCATATGCGTCGGTGGTTTTGTGTTCCTCCAGGAACTGATTGAATGTAGATAATATGCCGGAAACATCTTTTTCTGCTGTCTCAGTTCTGGAGCATTTGGCGCTCTGGTGACCTAGATGTATTACCTTATTTGATATGTTGCTTTAACACATTTTTTTGCATCGTAATTCTGGGTGTATGTAGGGTAAAAGAGGTTAGAGGTTGTTCGCAATGCACGATTGCCTTTTGATTCGATCCCGACCTCTGCTCATAGCAAGTCCGCAGTGGGTTATCTCTTGTTTGAAGATTCGTTTTCTATTAGTTGACGGATCATCGAAATTTTCCATTGTGACGTAATAGACTTTCACTAAAAATAGTAGTCAAGGCTACAAAGGCTCTACTGTATGAATTGGAATACAAAGGACTACAATTTTGTACCATCGTAATTAGGAAAAGTTTAGTTTTCTTGTGTCTGAGGAAATTGGCTAATCTTCTGTTATATGACTGAGGAACTGTTGGCACATAGAAGCATGTTGATTAGTGTTTTTCGCAGAACTTACGAGAGCGAAATACTAATCATAGTCCTCCGAGAGCAGCAGCGCTCGCCACTCGATAACTAATACACTTTCTTTACTTTTTCGTCACTTCTCCTCCTTCTAGCTTTATATTACGTCTAGATTACAGCGGATTAATCAATATTTGCAGTTTGACACTTCCCATATTGAGAAGTAATTTTCTTGCAAAAAATCTGCATGTGCGCTTTTATCGTATGGTGATGTCAGAGTGCTGTGCTTTTCCTAGTGGTACGCTGTAAAAAGATATAGTATGAGGCGTTCGACGTCGAGAATGCTCTGGAGCTACGTATACAGTCAACTTAACTCGAAGCATCGATGAGATAATGAGCTTATTTAATGACTTGGCTGGCCCAGCCGATGTATAATATCCCTGTTTTGTGTCTCAAACAGTTCTGACATCACCGTACCGATCCTGCTGGGATAGAGGTGCGTCAGCTCGAAATGCAGCTTAGAACACATTTCTACACTATGCAGTGCACCTGTCATCACTGTGCTACAGCAATCACATTTTCTTTGTTAATTGAGTCTGAAGCATGGGGTTATTAATAAAATTTTGATTGGCTAACATTTCGACATTCTTCACTTTCGATATGGAGTGATGAGCAAAACTTTTGCGTCAGTTCGAACTCGAGCTCACATCTCACTCTATCCGGGAGCAAGTGCTCTAATCCGTTGCAGTGCTGACGCCCGTTTTGCTCATCATTCTTTCTACGCTACAACGCATCTATCTGCCACCAACAAACCGTCGAATTTGTTGTCCGAAACCGAGCAACAAAAGACCTGGCCCAGGTAGTCGCTATCGACGTTGAAGCCAGTCACGCTGACTAGGATTGGTATTAGATCATCTAAAAGTTCCACCTTCCTCAGGATCGGTGATCCGAGTCGATTGCTACTGTCGCTTGCAGTCTGTGTAAACCTCGCCTTCGCTTCATTCGAGCTGAACGTTCTTCGAAGGAGCGTCTCTCGAAAGAGTTCACCACCCAAGAAGATTCGATTCGAATGAAACAAAGGCGAAAATTCATAGCGAGTACGAACGAGATTGCACGATCGACTCGAATTTTGTTCTGAACAAGACAAAAGGCCTCGAAACGTTGAGCGAATAAAGGTTTTTAGGTTACGCCGAGGTTAAAGAAAAGTCGATTTATAGTATACTGCCCTATACGTCTTTCAGTTTAAGCCATGAGCATAAATTCCGCAGAATTTACTGGGAAAGATAGAAAATCTGTGAACGGTCGCTGTTTAGAGATAGTCGAGGGTATCCGACATTTCCCTCTGTCTGTCATTGACTACGTTTCTAGGAGTTTTTCATCTCTAATGAAAACACTAGGTGCACCGTCTGACAACCGAAGGTTTTTCATAACATGGTCGTCCATTTCGCCAGCAGTTTTACTATTTTTGCTGCCATACACGAAATGCGTATATTTACATAGGTTCAGGACAGTTTGCTTACTAAATCTAATCATT